TGCAGTGAGGATTTTTTCATTGATCTCACATCACGCTTGAGGAAGTAAGAAGGAAACCAGTCCCCATTTTTGCTCAATTTTGTATAGTTGTAAAGCAGGATTATCTCCACCCTGTACAGTTCAGAGTTAGAAAATACACTAGGTAGAACATAGTGAATGGATGCCATTCCTCTGTCATTTGACTAAAGAAATTTTTCTACTTCACAAAGAATTGAAGTACTGAACCTTCTCACTTGTATGGTCCCATTCTAGTCCATATATTGATGTAATGAGTTCATTACAATAGAAATTTTTGTCAACTCTCATGGTTTGCTAATCTGAATGAGATCTGATCTTCTAAAGTGGCATAACCCATAATTGATGATATTATGGTCACTGCCATCTTTAGTAAAATGATAGTCAGTAAACATTAGTACATTACTATTTTCTACCATTTGGAAACATTTCTCAGAATATGTTGAAATAACATGGATTATCCTAATCTGGAAAGTTGATCCACAATGGCTTAAGTATGAGGGACCAAACAAATAAGTTGTCGGATAATTCAGTAAATTTATCTTCAATCGTACTGTTGTAGAAGTCCAACTCTCAAATAATTCATTTGTGAATAAGATATACCAGTTGGAACTACCATTGTTATAAATAGCAAGACATCTCTGATCAAGTGATCCAGACCCAAGTCATTACAAGACAATCACCAATTGTTTTCAATTTGATTTCTAAAGATCCTGTGTTCTCTATCTTGTCATGAAAAATAGTGGTGCCTGTTGATCTTCAGGCACAATGGCATAAAACCATAAATGCTCGAGGATGAGTTGGACAACAAAGCCATGTGATACTTCTTGTGGTATTGTCAATCCATAGTGCTACAAATGCCTCTTCACCAGTGAAATCCTATAAGGTTGGCATGTCTTCTCTTATTCTTCTTAAATATATGGACACACAGTTTGCATATATTTTAGTCCTTGAAATCATCATATGGCACTGTTCCATATTTATGGATTTGATTCCGAGAAATCCTTTGTTCAATGTATGAGAAAAAAGTAGGACCTTTTGTTCTTGAACTTATATGAGCTAAAACAATTAATCATGTCAATAAGCTGGAAGACAGGACCATGTGGTAATTGATATGTCATTGTCCTTCACTGATGCCCAACCCAAATGGCTCTTCACCACAAATCGAGGAGATTTTTTGGCTTGCCCTTCTCTTATATAAACATGTTTTGAGAAGTAGCCACAACCACTACACCTCTCCCAAAAAACTAGAGAACTACTCAAAGATTTTCCTTTCCTTTCAGAATTTTTAGTAATTGTTCTCTTCATCATTTGCTCATCTTAATTAAAAGATCATGGCTATCCGTGTTCCTCGTATAATCAAGAAGTCTTCAACTTCTTTGGATGTTCCCAAGGGCCATTTTGTTGTTTATGTCGGGGAGCAGCAGAAAAAGAGATTTGTGATACCGATATCATACTTGACCCAGCCTTCATTTCAAGACTTGCTAAGTCAAGCAGAGGAAGAATTTGGCTTCAATCATCCAATGGGTTGTATCACAATTCCCTGCCGAGAGGACATCTTCATTGACATCACTTCTCAATTTAGGATTTAAGTATATATTTGAGATCAATTTTCCATTTTAGATCTCACAATTTTGTATACGATAGTAGGAGATTCATTTTGTCCAGTTCGTTAAATAGAAGTTATATGAAGCTTACCACCACAAAGATTGGTGCTTTTTGACTCACAAAGACTAATTCAAAGAACACAGATCCAACATTATATCAATGTGCAAACTCTAACCCATTGTTTTAGTTCATTTGCAAAGTATTCTGTGAAATTGTATTTGAAATAAGACTTCAATGTTCAGGCACTTGTGTAGTACCAGACATTTTCGAATTAATGTAGTTTGCTTCCTGCGAATTAATAACATTGAGATTATCTTATTTAAATAGTGCATCGCATGCTGCGTTCTAATGTCACTAATATAGAGGAGATATCAAATTATGTGTGATCAAACAGATAAAATTACTAATCTAAATTGAAAGGAAAAGTATTAGAGACAACAAACATTGTATTGAATTCGATAATATTACAAAATGTGGTATATATATATTTTAACCACTCAATAAGTAATTACACTTGAAAACTCGCTGCTCATCTCACACTTATTCCTTTTAAAACCTAATTTTCTAGTTTCAACACCCCATTGCATGTTAACATCATCACTTGGTTTCTTCCTTTTCTTCATATTTACTTCTTCAACAGCTCGTGGAAACTCTTCTACCCGTGTCCTACAAGACTCTGAAGAAATACTGCTATTAGACTGTAAGATTCTGTTTACTGTGGCTCTTAGAGTCAAATTAGGCAAGAGAACATCAACAAGTATATTTCTAGCCCCACATACGCAAACAGAGTTAGACATAATATGATTCCTTATGCATTTGTCGCAGAAACTACTAAAACAACATTTGCTTGCTATAACTGCATCTTTCATTAATCCTTTACACAATGAGCAGTGAAGCTCTGCTGGTATATCTCTATAGGAATGCTTAGAAGACGATGAAGAACAGGACAATCCTTCAACTTCCTTAGTAAAAACAGCAACACTTGCACTTACTTTCTTGATGTCATAATTGGGGTCACCATTTGTAGGGCAATGCTGAATGAAATGCCCAGGCACCTTGCATCGATGACACACATACCCTGGTGGTGGGTTTTTCCATTCCATTCCACCTTGTCCAACACTAAAGCAAGCCGATCTTGTGTTATTATACTCAAGTGATATGTTTCCCATTGAATTCTTGATTATACTACTAGTACTAGTGGGCACTGGATTACCTAATTGAATTGGCACTGGATTGCCTAATTGACTTGGCACTACTACTTTTGGAATTGCATACACATCATCGCCAAAATCATCATAATCAATATCTTGAGAATATTTGGACTCTTTTTTAACTGAATGAACCTCCTCCTCCTGTTTACACAACACTTGCTTGGGCTTCTCTGTAATTACTATAGGGAAGCAAGGTAATCCAGGAAGGCGATGAATCAAAACACTTGTATTTCTAGGAATCAAAGTGGCATGATCAACATAATCTTCGTTAGTTTGTGCGTTGGTGAGAAGAAGGTCGAAATCTTTACCCCAACCATAACGCTTGGATTCAAATATTTTTGATTTCAAATTCCCAACAGAAATAAAGTGATCAAGAATTGGAATTGAATCATAGTCCTTAGCGCTTTTATACTTGAAATACACTACTGCCATAACTGAAATATTTTTGCTAGAAAATTAAAAATAAACAAAGTTAAGAATTTGGTTGCACAGAAACAGTGTTAGGAATTGCGTTTATATATAGACATTTTTTTCAACTTCCGAAACCAACTCGGAATCTAAAAGGAAAAAAAGTTTCCTAAAACTGTAATCCCATTCCCATACGAACTCAGGTTTCCTTATTTTACACTAACCAAAAATAATTTGATTTTATAAATTTATAATTTTAATATTTAAATTATTCTAGTAATACATGTTGAGCCGCCAGATCAAAATTATTTATTGTGGTAGAACCGTATAAGTCCTTTTTTAGAATAATTTTATCCTTTGAATATTTGAATTTGTAAAAAACATATTATATTCAATTATTTATAATTCTAATTATTAAAATTTGGAAACCTGATTGGGTTATTAATTTTTCGGGTATGGGATGTATTTTTGTTACTGCATTCTTGTTTGACCGTAATTATTTTGTGATTTTGTGCCCGAGATAATAATACAAACTGAGTATACATTAATTATATATTTATTATACACGAATTATACAGAAATATGAGTGTGAAAGATTATAATGCCTATGACGGGTATAGATAAAAATGTATATAATATGTATATATATTGTATGAAAAGTGTATCAACGTTGCATTTAATGCATATACATTATTTATAACACATTCAGTGCTCATATATACTGTGTATATAATGCATGCATACAGTGCATATACAACTTATAACATGTATATAATTATAAAGTGATTGAAATATAATATCCACATACCAAGCATAATTTTTCTGTCACAAACAATTCTCATTTTCTTTCTTTTGTATTTTTTTTTTTTACCCCTCCCTCCAGGAGTGCCCACTTTTGTTCTTTGGTTGAAAGTGAGAGATGTTTATTATCCGAGCAGCTTCCTGTCGTCATATCTTTTTTTTTTAAGTTGTAGATAGAGTTTGGGGGTGCTAGGTTGGAGGTGAGTAAGTCTACTTTTTGTTAATTTAATTTTTAGAGTGTGTATAAGATGTTTTTGAATCACAAAATTAATTTATAGATGACCGAAGATAAAATTGTTAATTCTTTAAAATAATATGAACCTCACATGCTTGTTGAGTTGATATATTTTCAATTCTTTAATTTTGCTTGAAAATCAAATGGAACTCAAAGCAAGCAAAACACAAAAGAGATCAGCTACATATCAAATATTTTGGCCTAGAAGCCAATTGTGTACTTGTACCATAAATCATTATTATTTTTAATATTAAATAACTACGTAATGTTGTAGTAGTCAAATTTAAAATAAAACCCAATCATCATTAGTAAGGTTAATCTAATAAAATTTATTTTTAATTAAAATTTTCTGAAGAGGTATGTTACATTAACATAGATCAAGTAATATAAAATAAGAAAATATTTTTATATATACATCGAACACAAAAAATAAAAATAAAGACTCCACTTATTTCCTAAAAAATATTTTCGAGAAAAACATTTTCTATCATGCCAAACACACATACGTAAGCTCATTTTCCATATTTTGAAATGGAAGATCTGCTTATTTAAATTTATACTAATATAATATATTGTAGTAATTTTAATATGGATATAAAATAAAAAAAAAGTGGCTGCCTCGATATTGACAAAATAGTCTGCGTCGAAATTTTCAAAAAAATTAAAGGCGCCGTGGAAATAGGGCGCTTTGTGCAATTTTTGAAACAAACCCTAGAGTGCTCTTCGCCGCTCAATCTTCTTATCTCATCTTCAATCTTTTCTCCATTTACCGAAAAGCAAAACCCACCACAAAAATCCTTAAGCCAAACTCCATACACAATGGCCAAAAAGAAGATGACCCCGCAAGATAATCAACCCCAAAACCCCACTGAAGTGGTTAAGGAAAATCAGGTGAAAGAAAACAATCATTCCATTGCCATGGAAGAAGCTTCTGAGAAACTTGAGAATCTCAAGAACCTCAACAATATGCTTCTCAAGGAGACTATTGAGAAACGGCAACAGGTGGATTCACTAGTGCAGGCAAAAGGGTCTCTGGAATCGGAACTCAAAAGGTCTAACTCGGAGAAAAGCGAGTTGCAGACCGAGTTGACTCAGTTGAGTGAACAGGTTATTCAGTTGGAGATTGAGAAGAAATTGGTGTCTGTGTTTGTTGCTGTGCAGGTTGGTTACCATGCTGAGGTGATTGAGAATGAGAGGAATGGGTTTCGTGAACAGAATGACGTGGTGGAGAAGAAGCTGAAGAGTGTAGAGATAGAAATGCGCGATGTTTTGAGAGAGAAGGGTGAGATTGAGAAGCTGTTGACTGGAAAGGAGAGTGAGATTGAAAGCCTTAGGAAGAAATTGAATGCTGTTGCTGATGAGGTTGCCCAAGAGAGGAATGTTTCGGAGGGGATTCGTAAGGAGAAGGATGAAATGAAAATTAAACTTGACACCCAAATAGAGGAAGCAGATGGATTGAGAGTGAGATTGGTTGAAACTGAGAAGCGAGAGAAGGAGATTGAAGGAGAAGTTGGGAAATTAAGGGTTGAATACAATGCTCTCACGGAGAAAATCAAGGACAGAGAAAGCAAGATCCAATCCATGGTGAGAGAGAAGGAATTGGTTGCAAATAGCTTGTTGAGTTCGAATAAAGTGATTGAAGAACTAAGGGGGCAGATTGACGGGATTGTTAGGGAAAAAGAAGGGATTGAAGTGGAGAGAAATGCAGAAGTGAAAAAGAATGGTGAGTTGCAAAACACAGTCGCTGGTCTTAACGATATGGTGCTGAGTTTGCAAAAGGAGGAGGCTAAATTGCGTGAAAATTTGGCTGGGTTAGAGAAGAAGTGTTTGGAAGGCTTAAGAAAGGAAGAGGAGATGGAGAAGAGGATAAATGAACTTGTGACGGGAAACAATGAGAAAGAGATCAGAGTTGAGAACTTGATTGAAGAAAAGGCCTTTGTTGAGAAGGAACTAGACAAGGCATTGAAGCAATTAGATGTAGAGAAGAAGAAGATTGAGCAAACGGTTACAGAGAAGAATGAGATGGAAGAGGCTAAAGTTGGAAGGGAGACTGAAATTGTTGAACTGCAGAAACAATTAGCTGAATTCAAGAATTCTATTTCTGAATTAGAGGTGTCTTGCAATGGTCAAAAAGAGAAGGTGAAGAATTTGGAATCTGAAGTTGGTAAGTATAAGGCTACCTTCGAGCGAGTTACCCTTGAGAAGGATGAGATGCAAAAGCATTTTGTCCACGAGGAACAGAATGGTATAAACATGAAGAAACAGATTGAAGAAATGGAGAATCACATTCAAAAAATTGTGAAGGAGGTTGAGCAAACCAAGGCTGATTACCTCAATGTTGTTAGAGAAAAGAAAGAGTTGGAAACTCAATGTCAAGTGTTGAACAAGGAAATTGCTTTTGCGCAAACCTCACTTGCCGAAGCACAGAAGAAAATTAGTGATATGCAGTGCAAGGTTGAGTTGGCAAATAGCAATTCTGAGGAAATCTTGAATGCTTTGAGGACTGCTGCAGATTCAATCCGCTCGGATGGTGAAGGAGAAAGTGGCAGTGTGGTTGGTGAAAAACAAATGAATGGGGAAGATGTCAAGCCTTATGAAGCAGAGTTGGAGGCCATCACAAATGCAATCAAGAGTAAAGAGAACAAAGTTGAGGAGATGCAGAGGCAGGTTGAGTTTTTGCAGTTTTCAGTAGCTCAAGCACAAAAAAAGAAGAATTTCTGGACCATGTTATCTTCAGCAACAACACTTTTTGCTGCAATTTCTCTTGCCTATGTTGCTCGTGGCCATTGAGTAAGGGAGTCCTTAGTATTATCCAAACTGGTAATGACAAGTCCGAAGAAATGACTTGAGTTTTGTTCCCATAGTTTACCTTTAAGAAGGCACATGATGCTGCTGGTATCATGGCCTAGGCTTGACAATCTGACTGTTGTTAGCTTGTTTCAACATCATATGTAACCATCTATGACCCTTTTTTTCATCATTCCGTATGAAATAATATCAAGTCCCTTTAGTTTCCAGAACAGATACTAGTAATTCTCTATGTTTTCAATAATAGCAACAAACAACAAGTATGCCTCAGTTGAAAGATTGTTATCCATGTCAACATCACTTTCTGCTGCAGTTCTCAAAGAGATGAATGAATTTAAAATTTTCTAATTCAAAAGATATTGAAGTATTGACCTTTTTTCACTTTATGGTTCCATTCAGTTAGCATTGGTATTTTTCTTACTTATGATTCCATATGCTCAAGTCCTGCGGTTTTCTAGTTTTCTCCTTACGAAGGTTGAGAGATCATTGCTTTCCCAACTCCCAAACCACTAGTTAACAATGTGCTCGAATGAAATTCAGATTTTTATTTCACAGCTGGATATATATAGTTAATCCAACTAATAAAAGGAGAAGACTTTTTATCAACCATCCTTCATCTGGAGTAGCTAATGTACTATATCATTGTTAAACCCACCAGAAGAGCAAGTTTCAGTAATTCACAACCAACCAGTAATTGGGAATTTTGTCAGGATATGAGATCCCATTTCATATATCTCTTGATTTTTTTCAGGTTCCTATTCTGATATTTGTTGTGATCAGGTTCGCATTTCTAGAGAGCTATTTTAAAGTCATTCTGCACTTACTGCTTGGAAATATAAGTCTTTAAGGTTAGTTATCTTTAGAATAAATGTACGTTAGTCTGACCCGTCAGTTTACAAGGCCTTGCATCTCACTTCTATAATGCTGGCTAGAATATGATTTCACATAAAGATTAACTAAACAATTTCAGCGAAGTTCTTAATATTCTTAATGCTTCAATTCCTAGCTTCTCTTATGCTTTTAAAATAAGAATCAACAGGTTCCTGCCTCTTACAACAAGTTTTGAGTTATATATAAATTTGCTACCGTCTCTCGGCACTTCTAAACGGACATTCACCTATGAAATTTTGTCTAGCTTCTATTTTTCTTTAATGATGGTTGTGTACTCCTCATTTGCCGGAGGTGCTTTTCCCTATATGCAGTCATAAAAGTCATATAATACTTCATATGCAACCAAAATGGTCTTAAATTACAAGTACTGATATAGAAGGCAAAGTCATATGATGCTTCATGTGCTACTGTCTTTCATACAGATATTAATCAAATGCCTTTACCAGCTATTATTAGGATGTTTCTGTGTACAATAATCAGGTACTGTTTATGAAACCAAATGCTTCTCAATCATCAAATAAATAGTGCTAAAGTCCACCCATGCTCAGCAGGGACACAACACAAGTAGTCACTGGTTAGTTTTTTCTTGTTTAACCAGAAACATTGCAGGACCTATGACCTTTGAACAACAACTAGTATGCCTTTGTTGTGAAAATCAGTGGGGCCTTTTGCTGCTAACTCAATGTATAAATCGTATGTATGGCAATGAGTTGGAAGGCAAAACCATGTGATACTTCAGGTGGTATTGTCTTTAGCTGGTGCCCACAGACCTATCCAGTGCACATCAGTTGGATTCTACATCTTGTCGTTCGCCAATATATAAACACATACAGAGAAGGATTTACCATAACAACTCTCAGCATAACTTGGAACCATATACAGCTTCTCTCTGCTTTCAAGGTCCATACTAATTCTTCCCTTCTTTTCTATCTAGATTGAACGTAACAACCATGGCTATCCGTATGCCTCGTATAATCAAGAAGTCTTCAACAGGTGGAGATGTTCCCAAGGGCCATTTTGTTGTGTATATTGGGGAGAAGCAGAAGAAGAGATTTGTAATCCCTATATCATTTTTGAGCCAACCTTTATTTCAAGACTTGCTTAGTCAAGCTGAGGAAGAATTTGGCTTTGATCATCCAATGGACGGTGTCACAATTCCCTGCAGTGAGGATTTTTTTGTTGATCTCACATCTCGCTTGAGGAAATGACAAGGAAATTAGTCCCTTTTTTTTCTTACACAAATTTGTAAAGCTGTAAAGCAGGAACACAGTGTACAGTTCAATAGTTAGAAGAAACACTAGTTAGGCTAATGAGTTTAGCACATAAAGAATGGATGTCACTCCTGTCTCTTGACTAGGGACGCATTTTTCTACTTCAAAAGAAATTGAAGTAATATACATTTTTTACTTCTATGGTTTTATTCTATTATATATACTGTTGTAGCCAATTCCTTGCAATACGAAAGTTTTGGTCAACTCTCATAGTTTGCTAATCAAATGAGCTGGAATCTGGTCTTCTAAAGTGGGCATAACCCATTCAATTGGTGACATTATGGTCAATAGTCTCTACCATATTAGCAATATGATAATTACTCCTTGTACTTAACATGTACTAGAGCTGCTGGATTGTGGAAACACTCAGTGCAATAGAAAATGGATGCAAATTAATTAACTTTTAATAAGATATAATATCTACACTTCCCTTGAATATTAACTCAAATTTCTGTCAATAATAAGGTTATGACTGACTCATAATTCAACGGATATTCGTAGAACATAGACACATACATGTTAGCCATTAAACATTTATATCAGTTGGTACTACCATTGTTCAAAACATCTCTGAGCAAAAGATCAAGACCTGAAAATTACCCATTGTTATCAATTTTGATTTCTGTAGTAATTTGAAGCAGTGGGGCCTGCTGTTCTTCAGGCACAATGGCCTAAAATCATAAATACTTGACAATGAGTTGGACAACAAAACCATGTGATACTTCATCTGCTATTGTCAATCAACAGTGCAAAAAATGCCTCTTCACCATTGAAATTTAAAGTGTGATTGGCATAAATGGACACAGGGTTTGCATCTGGGGTATGCTATAGTCATAGTGAATAGGCACCAGCCATTTATATGGATTTGATTCTGAGAGTTCCTTTGTTCCATGTATGAGAAAAAGGTAGGACCTAATATTCTTGAACTTATATGAGCTTAAGTAATTAATGTTGTCAATTAGTTGGAAGACAGAACCATGTGGTAAATGATATGTCATTGTCTTAACAGATGCCTTACTCAAATGGCTCTTCTCATGAGATTTTATGACTTGCCAAAGGCTTATATAAACATGTTTTGAGAAGTAGTCAGCACCACAACTCTCTGCAATACTAGATAACTCCTGTGCTTTTTCAGTAATTCTTCTCTTCATCATTTGCTTAAAAGATCATGGCTATCCGTATGCCTCGTATAATCAAGAAGTCTTCTACAACTAGAGATGTTCCAAAAGGCCACTTTGCTGTTTATGTAGGGGAAAAGCAGAAAAAGAGATTTGTAATCCCTATTTCATTCTTGAGCCAACCTTTATTTCAAGACTTGCTTAGTCAAGCTGAGGAAGAATTTGGCTTCAATCATCCAATGGGCGGTGTCACAATTCCCTGTAGCGAGGATGTGTTCATTGATCTTACTTCTCGCTTGAATAGGATCTGAGGTTTTTCAAGATTCACAGTTTGTACATTAGAGAATTAGGAAATACACATTATTTGTACCATGTTACTGAAAATTAGATAGAGGGAGCAACTGTGAACTGCAACAGTTGATCCCAATTTTGAATGTAATTTTCAGTAGCCTAGCTGATGTCTAAAAGATATACAACACAATTTTTAACAAATGAAATTTGTTCAGATTCATTCTTTAGCCAATTTAGTTTTCAGTATTCTTGTTGAAATTTTTTGTGAACATAACAATTTTGTGTCCTACGTGTATTATGTCAGGTAGGACGTGTATATTTACTTGTTCAATTTTATATAAGTTTAAATGTGTACGCCCAAAATTGGAGAGCATAAATGCTAGCTTAAACCAAGTTAAAAGGTATATTTATATATTATGTGTTATTTAAACTTATATATTTATATAAGAGTAAATTAAAAAGTTTAAAGTTAAATAAAATGGAGGTAATTGTAATTAACTCAAATTTCAATTGCTATGTACTCTAACTTATTATTTTGAATTTTATGAAATTTTTAAAAAGGAAATAGGATTCTAAACGTGTTTTTTTTGTTGTGAAAATAAAATAATGTCAACACTCTAATACTCTCCTTTTATTTTTGTGGAAGAGGAAAAATCCTAATAATTTGTAACCCTACAAAGTCAAGTTTGAATAGTCAAATTGAGCTCCTTCTCTCTAGACTCTCTTTCTATATTTATCTCTCTTTGTAAATTAACTCCGTCGGCGACGCCGGCAAGTCTACCGTAAGATTTCTTCAGGAGCTATTCGTCTGAAGGATGGGAGCCGACATCGCAGAAAACGAGTTGAAGAAATTGGAATACCTCTCGCTAATTTCTAAGGTATGTTCTGAGTTGGAGGCACATTTAGGGTTTGGTGATAAGGTTCTAGCTGAATTTATAACTGAGCTTGGTAGAAATTGCTTAACAGTAGATGAATTTGATGACAAATTGAAAGAAAGTGGTGCTGAAATGCCCGATTATTTCGTAAAAACATTGCTCACTATAATCCATGCTATTTTGCCTCCTAGTGCCAAGTCCAAGTTGGAGAAGGAGTTGAACAAGGATGGCAATGATTCCGAGTTTTCAGCTCTGAAAATCAGAGATAATAGGGATAGGGTTAAGGAATTGGAGAAGGAGATTGAGTTGGAGGCTAATAGTAAGAGGAGAGATGGGGAGGGAGAAGAACGGGATAGGAGGCGAGAGAGGGATAGAGATTATAGAAGAGAAAGGGGTAGAGACAGGGATAGGGATAGGGATAGGGGTAGGGATCGAGATAGAGATGATGGTAGAGCTGAACGTAGGGCTTCAGAAAGGCGCAGAGACAGGGATGGAGATGGAGATGTATATGCAAAGGGTAGGAGAGATGATTATGAGCAAGACGGGGATGATGATCGGAGGGATAGGAGAAAATCGAGGCATCATGTGGATGAGCCAGAGTTGTATGCAGTATATAAGGGGAGGGTATCAAGGGTGATGGATTCTGGTTGTTTTGTTCAGCTGAATGAATTTAGAGGGAAAGAAGGCTTGGTGCATGTTTCACAACTTGCTACTAGAAGGGTTAGTAATGCCAAAGATTTAGTAAAACGGGACCAGGAGGTTTTTGTGAAGGTTATCTCTATTAGTGGGCAGAAGCTGAGTTTGTCAATGAGAGATGTTGATCAGAATACAGGAAAGGATCTGCTTCCATTGAAGAAGAGCTCAGGCGATGGTGGATTGACAACAAATCCTTCAGGCATGAATAATGAGGGCTCTAAGACCAGGATTGGCCTGTCAGGAATCAGGATTACGGAGCAAGAGGATGTAGCTCCATCACGTAGACCTGTGAAGAGGATGAGTTCACCTGAAAGGTGGGAAGCGAAACAACTTATTGCTGCAGGTGTCCTGGGGGTCCAGGAACATCCCATGTTTGATGAAGAAGGGGATGGAATGCTATATCAGGAAGAAGGTGGTGTTGATGAAGAGCTTGAGGTTGAATTGAATGAAGATGAACCCCCTTTCTTGCAAGGGCAGAGTCGTTATTCAGTTGATATGTCTCCTGTCAAAATTTTTAAAAATCCTGAAGGATCATTGAGTCGTGCTGCTGCACTACAATCAGCTTTGATAAAGGAGAGAAGGGAAGTAAGGGAGCAGCAACAGAGAACGATGCTTGATTCTATCCCAAAGGATCTCAACAGACCATGGGAAGACCCAATGCCAGAGACAGGTGAGAGGCATTTGGCACAGGAGCTGAGGGGTGTTGGTTTGTCTGCCTATGACATGCCAGAATGGAAGAAAGATGCTTATGGTAAAGCCGTGACCTTTGGCCAGAGGTCTAAGCTATCCCTCCAGGAGCAGCGGCAGAGTCTTCCTATTTACAAATTGAAGAAAGAACTGGTTCAGGCTGTCCATGATAACCAGGTCCTGGTCGTCATTGGTGAGACAGGTTCTGGCAAGACAACACAGGTGACACAGTATCTAGCCGAGGCAGGGTATACAACGAGGGGAAAAATTGGCTGTACTCAACCTCGTCGAGTGGCTGCGACATCAGTCGCTAAGAGAGTTGCTGAGGAGTTTGGTTGTCGATTAGGTGAAGAGGTTGGTTATGCTATTCGTTTTGAAGATTGTACTGGGCCAGAAACTGTTATCAAATATATGACTGATGGTATGCTTTGGAGGGAGATCCTGATTGATGATAATTTGTCCCAGTATTCAGTCATAATGCTTGATGAAGCACATGAAAGAACGATTAACACTGATGTTCTATTTGGTTTGCTTAAGCAGCTAATGAAGAGAAGACCTGACCTTCGTCTAATTGTCACGTCTGCAACTTTGGATGCAGAGAAATTTTCTGGTTATTTCTTTGACTGCAACATCTTTACAATCCCAGGAAGAACTTTTCCAGTTGAGATACTCTACACAAAGCAGCCAGAAAGTGATTACCTTGATGCGTCTTTAATTACTGTCATGCAGATCCACTTGACAGAACCTGAAGGTGATATCCTCCTCTTCTTGACTGGTCAAGAGGAGATTGATTATGCTTGCCAGTGTCTCTATGAGAGGATGAAAGGACTAGGTAAAAATGTTCCTGAACTGATCATACTACCTGTCTATAGTGCCTTGCCCAGTGAAATGCAGTCCAGAATTTTTGATCCTGCCCCTCCTGGGAAAAGAAAAGTTGTTGTTGCTACAAATATTGCTGAAGCTTCTTTGACAATTGACGGTATATATTATGTTATTGATCCTGGATTTGCAAAGCAAAATGTCTACAATCCAAAACAGGGTCTTGATTCACTTGTTATTACCCCAATTTCACAAGCATCAGCAAAGCAACGAGCAGGGCGTGCTGGACGAACTGGACCTGGGAAGTGCTACCGTCTGTATACTGAGAGTGCATTCCACAGTGAAATGTCTCCTACTGCAGTTCCAGAAATCCAGAGGATAAATCTTGGGAACACCGTTATTATGATGAAAGCAATGGGTATTAATGATCTTTTGTCATTTGATTTCATGGACCCACCTACCCCTCAGGCTCTCATATCTGCCATGGAGCAACTTTACACTCTTGGAGCACTGGATGAAGAGGGGCTTCTGACGAAACTGGGAAGAAAAATGGCAGAATTTCCATTAGATCCTCCTTTG